CCATTTGAGTTGTGGCAATTCGACCTCAGAAGACAAGACTGTAGAGCATAGTAGCCCGGTAACGGCCACAACTATCCCCGCCGGAATCCAATCCATGACATCGACCATACCATACGAAGGCTGTATCATGCTCCTCACAAAGTCTTCTCGATAGTCGAGCAGCATGGGCATGGAATGTCTCCAGTAGTGTACGCTGCGTACATGCGGAGGCAAATCAACACTTCGAGATGTCCAAGGTCAAAATCACACGATGTAGTGATGCTTAATGGCCACTCGTTAGAAGTTCGCTGGCGGTAAACGAAGTTGATGCGCAGAAGCGCACTCAACCGCCTCAAACATCGACCGATGAGGGTACACTCTCAATATAATGGAGCAAGTGCAGCTGAACAAGTTCAACTGTAGAACAGAGGATCACTACCAATTGACATCGCTGAGCTGGAGCTTTCTAGACCGGAAAGCTGAGCGGTTCGAGCCAGGCTTGTCGAGCTTCGGAGGGGTACGCTTTTCAGGCACTAAACGCAAGTCAGATAACGAACAATGGCTCGAATAGAGCGATGCTCACCTTCAGTATTGTTTTCAGCCTCGGTAGTCATTTCGTAATTGAGCACCAAGTTCTTAATGCGTTGCTGCTCTTCACGGTCCGCTTGCTGCTGACTCTTCATGGCAATTGCAAAGCTGGAGTCGGATGGGAGATCGATTGTACGAGTCTATGGCTTGTTAGCAACATGAAACGCATATAGTTAAGAAGTTGTGTAACAAACCTGCTGCTTATTTCCCTTCTTTGTCATCAAAGAGAAGGCCATTGTATTGGTTCGCTCGAGAGGCGCTTCAGTCACTGCATCACCCGCTGAAGCCTCACGGCCGGCACGCCTCATGGGCAGAGGAATATCGAACACACCCTTGCGTTCGAACCGTCTAGACTCCATACTCTCCGCCATCATTTTCTCGAACTCACGGTCAAACTCAGCCTCAACTTCAGGATCACGCTCCTCCTCCTGACGAGTGACAAAGATCTGCTCGTCCTCGGATTCACTGTCAGTATCTTGCTCGGCATTGGGGCCAGAGACCTGCATTTACTAGCGTCAGTGACGATTCTTAAGGCAACCTTGCCCTGATGGACGTGGAACTCACTTCAGCTTCATCGCTCGACTCTTGTTCTTCTTCAGCCTCGGGAATTGCATCATCCTCAAGACCGTCATCAGACGAGCTGCTTTCTGCATCATCTTCATCCGGCTCCATCGGCCTCTCGGAATCCTGAGTCTTGTAGTTCTGAGCGACTGCTTCACTGAACAACTGCGTGGCTTCCTGCAAATCAGTCATCAACTTCCATTGAGGACGGGCCATGGCGAAGGTGTCCTGGATCAAAAATTCGACGTCCATAGGCAAAGGGTCCTTTGTAAGATAATAGTACTGCGAAAATATTAGACCACTACTCCTTTCGAAGACCGAGCGGGAAAAAGCAGTACCTGGAAGAAGATCAAGAAGAAATCCAACTTCTTCTTAGCAGATCCACGATCAAAACAGTGACCACAAGTGTCCAGCAGAGTGCAGACCAGGCGAATCCGGAAGAAATCATCTGGTAGATCCAATGGGTTGAGTTTTCCAGGAATCGGAGTGCCACCTTCTACATAATATGTGAGTAATAGAAAACAATGGATCCAATGACGCTTACCGTAGCCAAAAGTGACAATCCGGTACAATGTATCAAAGACAACGGGTGAGTCGATCATTTTGTAGTTGTACAACTCCCCCAGGTATTTCACTTCAGCTACACGCTTCTGGTTGAACTTGAAATCGTTCTGTTCGAGTCCCAGCGTGATCTGCTCAAGAATGTTGTCTACAACACTAATCACGAAGTCCTGGTGATACCTATAAAGTGCACTGACAAGGATAGCGAGAAGGTGGATATTGCCGTATTTGACCTTGACCGGTTTACTGAAGACGCGCTCCAAGATATCGACCACCTGATGAAAGAGATTAGCGATTTGTGTTGCTCGCACACGGAGAAGGAGCGTAGGTGTGCTTACATCTTGTTCTTCCCAGTGGAGCTTCCGAATCGACTTCAGGATTTTGGTATAATTACGCTTGTTCATGTCGAGATAAATCAGCTTGCGGATGTAGGATTCCATAGGCGTGCGCTCCTTCTGTTGAATAGCAGGTCGCGGCGGCGGGTCGACATAGTACATTGCGTTCTCAATGATCATTCTTTCTTGCTGTCCCAGATGCTGGACTGTCTTCTTCCTCCCAAGCTTCTCCAAAAACGAGGCCATCCGCGGGGATGTTTCTGGATTCCGAAGCAGGTAGCGACCGCAGTTTTCGAGAAGATGGCCAATAATCTCAATGTTCATGCGTGAAAAGTCATCGAGGGAAACCTTGAAACAGTGAAAGATAATATGCTCCGGAACAACACCGAATTTGGTCAACTCTGCGAAATAACGGATATTGGTCATCCGAACCTGGCCGAGAAATTCTTTGGACTTCCGGCGTTGAAGACTGCGAAACTCTTCGTCGAGGTACGTTATTAAACCTTGAGGGATATCCTGAAGATACTGCCCGAGGGTTGCAACCAGTCGAGAATACAATGGCAAAAGATCGACTCGACCCTTTGGCACATCTGACACAGCCTTGATGAGCCTGTTCCTCGAGGCCTTGGAGTTGAGAAAGCAAAATTCGAGTGCCAGCTGATCAACTTGGTCTTTTGTTTGGAGCTCAGGGAGCCTAGCCAGGAGAGCGTCTACCTGAGCTCCAACGGTCTTGCTGGCGATGGCGGTAGACTGATCTTCCGCCTCAGCAGCAGACTTCTCTTCCGATGTTGGTGTTTGACTTGCGTTCTCAGGCTTCTCTGCACTCGAATCGGGTGTGGATTCGCCGTCCGTCTTCTTCTTCGCAGCATCGTCGGAGTCGGACTTTTTCTTCTTACCATCTTCAAGCAGAACCGACGGTACCTTTCCTTTCAGATCAACCAAGTTTTCATAGAAGCGCCGTTCCTCTTCATCCTCCCAAATACCGGGACCTTCGCCCTGGCCACGCAGGTATTCCGAAGTCTTCACAAGCCCGATCCCACCACTCGAGGCAGAATCAGCCGCTTCTTGCTCAGCCAAGGCTGGCATTTCCACCCCTAGAACCTCGCACAACACCTGAGTGTTTGCAACCAGTTTCTCCAATGACTTGCTCTGCTTGTCAAAATTTGCTTGACGGTCCTCGAATATCTCACCACTCTTGACGTAGGCTTCCGCATTTCGGCGACTCTGCGCTGCCAATGCTCTCTGGTCGCGAACGACGTGCGCCTTGACATCTTCCAGATACCGATTCAGAATACTCCTGAAGCGAAGCTGCGTCTTCTCCGACACAAGCGGCGGGTCATTCTCGGCGGCCGTCGCATCGTCTCCACCATTCACTGTCTCTGAAGGAGCAACAGAGGTCGTGGTCCCATCCGCATCAACCGTCTTCCGGCTCTCGTCGACCATATTCGCTCCGAGAATATCCCAACTAAAGCTCTTGGCGAATAAGACGGCAAGTGGCAGATTGGCATGATCACGGTCATGACCAAGGAGATCTTTCAAGACCTCCAGGGGGAACGGCTCGGCTTCTTTGTCTTGATCTTTGGCTGCAGACGGCGTCGCCTTAGGCTTAGACACGGCGTCTGTCGCTTTTCCACCGATACTGACCACACCATCCTTGCCCTTGGCACCCAGGTCTTCCGGTCTCTCGATGTCATCCAGGGTCCTCAGAACTCCGACAAGCCATAGCTCCGTGACCACCCTAAGTAGCACCCGATGTCTGGAGAGCCTTTCTTTCTCTTCGCGCTCGCGCAACTCCTGGCTGAGGGTTCTGAGCTGCGACTTGTCAGGTGTGCTGAGACCGCGACCTAGCAGCCAACCGATCTGCCTCGTGAACTCGTCCGGTCCGAATCGCTGATGCAATGCGCTTGTGACTTCCACGCCCGCGGCGATCTCCCCCGGGGATTTGAGTTTGCAGAGACCCTCATAGCATGCGGAGATGATCTCGGAAAGGTACTTGTGGAGCGACAAAGTGCGGATATCAGTCAAGAAGGTTTGCAGGACTGAAGCATTGATTCCTGTTCGGAGACGCTTGATAAAGGCCGTATTCTTCTTCAGCGACGAGTCAAGCGAACTGCTGACCGAAAAGAGATCTGTAAATAGTTCGATACGTAGTTAGATAACTGAGAGACGACAGCGTTCAGCGGAGTTTGTCGTTGAACGGGAAGGTAATTACCACTCTCTCCAGCCCAGGCTCGTTCATTCAGGTCGCGGAGATCCCCTAGATATGCCAAAATTGTCAGTTATCAAATAAAGTTTGGTTTAGCTTCAAGTAATATGCAAAGAAAATGCGTACGCTTTCTCTGCCGTTCCATCTCTTATTGCCAGCTGCTGTCCGCAGCGATTTTAACTGTCGTGGGGTCCTTTCTCAGAGTCCGAAAGGAAAGCGCACAAGTGACTTGAATGCCACATTGGTGAAGCACGGCGAAAATGGCGCACAGCGTATGGTACAGGTAGACGCCCTTAGTGCGTCAAGTAATAAAGTGTTTGTTGAAGAAGATGATTCTCTTATTTGGCTGACCCCGGCGGCGAAGTGGGATCCGAAGGCGGTCCTGGCCGTGAAACTGGACCCTTGGGATGTTGCGGAGTTCGCCCGTCCACTTACTATAAATTCCAGCAAAGCGCTCTCTTGATGCCCTAGCTCAGTGGTTTTCTTTCATTTAGTTTTATCTCCTGCAACTTCATGCAACTATTGGAGAAATACTAGAATTATAATTCCAGCATAGCGAAGAAGCTGTACTTTTCTGGTCATGCTCTTGCTTGATGAGGGACTGATATGAACATCGCCTTTACTGTCTCTTTTAGTGAACAAACGCACGCTTTCATGTACATAGAAATCGAGCCCTTAGCAGATGCCTACTGAGTTTCATCCTAACAAACTATGTTGTCCAACATCAATCACCAAGAACAAGGCTCAAAAGATAGATTCACTGCTACATATTACATATCCTGCAATATCTCCGTGAACCCTGTCTCTTTCCCTCGCTCTGTTGCTAGCAGCCTAGACTGAAGCTCATGTTTCTGATCCTGCTCACTCCAGCTCTGTTGACGGTTGATCGTCGGCTTCCACGGCTTCTCCGAGGAGCGGCCTTGAGAATTGGCACTTGGTGGATTAGGAACAGGCTCACTGCTTCGGCTCACGGACGGGTTTGCAGGGAGCAGGACTGTCTGAGCTTCAGAGGTGGGTTCAGCGAACGGTCCTTGATGGCCTGTGGACGACATTGTTCTGTTGGTAGGCGATGCCGTAGATGGAACTGGACTATACTACTGATGCGGGGCTTCTTTCTGCCTTTGCTGTAACGTGATGGTTTAGGCATTAGTTCAGTAACTGTCAAGGGAAATGACTTACTCAATTGAGCATAACAATGACGGAGTTCCAGACACACAGTAAAGTAGACTTAGATTATCCAGACACGAAGAATATCAGACATCTATATGACAGTTTAGAGGGATTAATATAGGTGCCACAAGCCCATTGTGACACGGGAATGTCATGCTATGTCATCGGTTGTGGCGACCGTGTGAAAGTTACATTGGCTGGATATCAGACTTTTTGGGGTACCGGATAGTGACAAGTTCTTTATTTCTACCACAGCACCACCGAGAGGTACCTCTCTAGGGCCAACATCCAATGATATCAGAGCGAGCAGGGATGATGTGTTATTCGACAACAATTCCTTGTATGGCAGCTGTCACGTGATACGAGTGACGAATAGCTGATTCAAGTGATCGGATAAAAAATGGTCCGAAAGTGTAACCAGTACCTCTATAAGGAAAGCAAATGGTTCGAACGTGAGGACAGCAGGCAATGTAGTGATGAATACTTTTATTCTCTTGGACGAGTCCTCATACCATACAGTCATCGAAGAGCCGAGCTCATCTGGCACATGGAAAGAGACACCTTTGCTGACAAGAAGATTTGCAAAGGCGCTCGATCCACGCAATACTTTCAGTATTTCCATATGAACGACCATGCTGGAACCATCAGCGTGCATCATAGCCCCGATCTTCAGCAAAGGGACGTGGTAAGAAATCGCACGGGTACAAAAGAACGCACCTCAACTGTTTGAGGCGCAGATTAAACAAATAAGGCATCGTACCTAGATGAGAAGAACGATCCACCGTACATCATACACCTTCATACAACATGGAAAAATCAAACAGGGTATGCCCACGCCACGCTATGCGAGTCCTCGAACTTAAAAAACAAGTAAAAACAGGGGTAATGGAACTATGTACTAAGAACGGTTACCGCAAATCTTTTAATCAATATGTCGGCGAATACGACGCCATCTTGGACTCCACAGAGTTGATTCATTTTGGCTTACGCCAGAAGTATTGCTGTACAGAAATTAGTATATTAATAACTAACGATCAATCAGGACCTGAAGCATACCTTGTGTTGCTTTCGGCAGTTGCGAAGACCTGGCTTTCTGAGGTCATTCACAACTGCTTCACGTCGCATATCATCGTCGTCGAAGTCAGGTATATAGTAGTATTCGCTTTCAAGCGGTTTGCCGGCGGCATCTTTTCCTTCACGTGCAACCTTGCCAATACATTTGGTGGACTCTATGATGGCGCGAATCTCCTCGCTCGAAGGTCCCTGTTTGGATCGGTCATCCCGCTTCCTCAGAGCCGGAGGAAGATTATTTAGTATAATTGAGAATGGAGTCGAAGACAGGCGCGAGAAGGCAAGTTGATTCGCCGCATGGTTCTGGATTCTCTCATAAGTCTCGTCAGTCAGTCCTGACTTGCGTTCCGAGCTGTCTTTCTCGGAAGGCCGTTGTGGCTGTTTGGGAGATTGAGTAGGCTGAAGAGGGCGAGAAGGGCGTGGGCCTCGCAGTGGTGATTCATCTGCGGAGAAAGATGCCATGCGGGGAAGGAGGTTATCGCCGAAAGGACCGAAGGAGTGAATGATTGGGTCGTTCTCCTCGTCGTGATCCGAGAATTCATCGGGTCTGCTAAGGTCGCTCAGATCGCTGGACTGCGAGCTTTGGAGAACATCCGCCAGGCGTGCGGATTCCTGGGCGGCTCGAGGCGATGACACATCCCGAGAAACGTTACGACGAACAGGAGATGCTTCATCTTCATACACAACCACTGCGTTTCGGGAGCGGGTAGGAGTAAACAAAGGCGAGGATGGGGGAACTAGTGACTGCACCGCAGGTGACGGAGAGACGGGGGAAGCCAGACGCTGTCGTTCGGCAAGGGGACTGCCTTGTAGGCTCCTACGAGACTGATTGGGCCCCTTTGGTGTTGTCTCCTCCCAGGTTTGCTCTGAGTCCGTTGAAGCATAGTCCTTCCTTTCGTTCCGTGGCCATTGCACGAGCACACGAGTGTCGTGGACATCCACCATGATGTCCGCATCTTTGATATCGGATGTGAACGTCTTGCCTTTGGCCAACTCATATGTCTTGCCTTGGCAGAGAAGTTTAACCCCGTTCCACCCCATGCACATTATCTCCACCCTATCACGGTCAAATGGATTAGGTGCCGGTTTATAGGTGGCCTTGACGTGAACCCTCGATATCATCCGATTGGCGGACAATTGGTGGTGACAAGATGCACTAGACCTCCCCATCAAAATAGGCTCTCCACTCTCAGGAAGCATCAGTGTCGGGACGGTCGACAATGGAGTTCGTTCGGAGCCTGACTGGGCAATAGTACGACGTGATGCAGACCGTGACAATGCCATCCGAGGCGGCGACGACGACATGATATGGGTCGACGAGGTCGGAACAGGAGTAGGATAGGTCGACACTATGCCATGGCTATCGCGAGCCACACGCTTCTGTGGCCGAGGAAGGGAGGGAGAAGAGCTCAATGGCTCGAAAGCAGGCAACAAGGACGCAGGACGCTTCACACCTACCACAGAAGCAGTGGCACTGCTCCTTGGAGGAGAAGACTCCATGATGCTATGGACTCTGTCCAGATCAATTGAAAGATTAAAGCCAAAAACAAAAAAGGCCTCTAGCAAAGTCCTAATGAGAGAAGATATTAAGTGAGGTTCGCGTCGAGGCCGCGTAGGGGCCTATTTCTATGGCACAATAATCACAGGACAGCAATATAAAGGAAAGAGAGAAGCTTGTCCTAGACAAAAGGAAAGAACTGAAGCTTCCCCCCAGGATGACGACCAGGAGGTTGGGAAGCACAAGAAAATTGGCCTGCGAGAAAGAACAAGTACGAGGCATAGAAGAAAAGGGTGAAAGTTGGTGTGTGGTGCAGGAATGCCTGCCGGAGCGGAACGTCTCGTCCTTCCAGCGCGGATTTGCACGCTTACAGACTGAGACGCGTTCGATAGGCGCCGACAAGGGCTCAGAAGCTCCACCGCTAACCTCGCGCAGCCTCACTGAAAGGTCATTTCAAACGATGTGTCACACTGCATGATTCTCCTTTAGATTCTCAAGCCAAGCAAAACATAGAAAGGGTGAAGCATGAGCTGATAGAAACCATGCCTCAATGGCTCATGCCTGCATACAAGATCTGTGTTGTGTATGCAAAAGGCGCGTCCGCCGCGTCTAGCCTCATGTGCTCCCGCGTTCTATGGTTCGAGTCCCCGTGACTCGCGCATGATCACGTGATCGAGGGTCAGCCGTCGGTCATTGCCTGCGCCGCTTTTGCTGGAATGCCGTCCTGACATGCAGCTTAACTAGCTTGGTCGCGCTCCATTGGATGATACTATGCATTTTTTTTGGTGCCTTGCTTAGTCTACCTACTGATGACAGGACTGAAAGAAGTGAGGCCAGCAGCTTGGGCCCATCGAGTTGAAAAGCAAATTTGACAGGAGAGATAGTCCCTGTCGTTCGGACTCCCTCCAAGTCTAAGGGCAGCAGCGGTATCTCAATATCTACCAAAAAAAGCTCTTTGGCATAGGAATGACTTAGTTCCGTGCGGCATATCATAGAACATGCCTGGTACTGTGGTACTTCAAGCCAACAAGAAGCATTTCCAGGATTCTAAGTTTTCGTCTATTCCCATTTACACAATGCGTAGGTACTATCAGCACGCTGCAGCAGCCATCGGAACCATACTCCCAGCCTTCCACCCCCAACTGATTATTTTCTACTCGACTCAAAAGGATACAGTGTATTACCATCAAGGTTGCCAACTGCTAACTTTGCCATATGTCTTGCGTATCGTAATTCAAACTGTACTGTGGAATATTCCTCAGATATATACAGTAGGGTTTATTGGCTAAGCCGGGGGATACGCAAGATGCACATTACTCATGTCTAAAATTTGCTCCAATCTCAGTGCAAAGGAGAGGGTTACATTCTAAGTATTCGGAAAATCTGAACATTTCGCACAACGTAAGACAAGAGGGGGACAGTCACTGACAAGACCTCTGAAAGATGACAAAACATGCAGGAAGCGACACTGTGCAATTGAGATGGATGAGGGCAAATAAACCGGGATACTTGGCTCTGAAGTTGGAGAATAAAATTTAACCACAATGTCTCTAACAAAAGGTCGAAGACATGACAAGATGTGACAAGAACTAGAGTCCACGCCACATAAGGTAATATAGTAAGATACACAGAAGAAAGCAAGCACACTGGGTAATTGTTCATGAGGCGGATGAGGGGCGCTGAACGGTCTTATCTCACAGAGGATTGGCGGGATATGTGAGGTGGCTGTTACCATCTACGCACAACGGCGGCACGCACTACCATTGGAGCTGGACGAATCATCCTCTAGTAGAAGACAAAGGTGGCATCACCAGACATGACCTCGACCTGTTGGGAGACGGTATGTAAGTCAACTATTCTCAACATGACGGGGCGACTCGAACTTACAGTGCACCCGGAGGTGCTGGTACCGGTCTCAGAGTAGAAGACTCCATTTTCGTACTTGCAGGAGCCGCTGAGGTTGTCGCCCTTGATCTTAATGTTAAAGTCAAGCTTTGCGTTCGTCGTGGGGCTGTTCTGGAAGATGGAGAGCCATTTGCCGTTGTTCTGGCCGACACCGAGGTTGACGGGAGCCCAGTTACCGATAGGCTGGCTGCCATCGCCCCATTGGCAACCCTTCTCAGGGGACACGCCCTTAGGGTTAACGTAATACTGGGCGGAGGTTGCCTTTTTGTTCCACTTGTAGTAGGTCTCACCATCGGGGCAGGTCAAGGGCTGGAGCTCATTGTCACCAAGGCCAAGGGGAATGGTCTCAGATTCGGTACCTTAAAAAGTTCTCGTTAGACAGGATAAAGTGTCGTGAAAAGGTCAAAC